ATGGGATTTTTTGAGTTGTCATTTTCGCTTACGGCGTAGTCATTATATTTGGGCCAATAAAAAAGCGAGTCCTAATTTCCCACCAATGATTCTCTACATATGCGATACTTAGATGCTTAAACGTGAATTTTTTTAGACTTTTATTTGGATATTTATAAATGAAATCCTAAGCTCTTAAATTCAATCAAACCACTTTCGTGCAGTTGCAGACACAGATAATAATTGGCATTCTAACCCATTGGTGTAGATTAAACGCCATTGAATGAAAAAAATAACGCCTCCTTTTTTCCAACTCAGTTGACGATGACGGGGATCTAACCGTTCCTTTCTCGAACCTCAAGTCCTCCTTCTCGAGCTTTGTCGGTGCCTTGGGAAAGGGTATCTCCGAACTTACCGGCGGATCGTTTAACTTTTTCGGTGGTCCTGACCCCGGAAATTTTGGGGATAATCGTGATGTGAGTTGTACCCATGCTCTGCCTGTTATCTGATCTATCTCTGGAGACGTTGAGGCTTTTCAAATTCTAGTATGGTTATCATGCCGTACTCAAGATTTGATCGGGTACTAAAATTCGGTGTAGTTTTGATATGCCTTCTGAAGTGAGCCTCTGCAGCTAAAATCTACTATTTAAAGGGCATATTTAGAATTTATGCCATCCAATAAAACCGATGAGTTGATTCAGTCCATAGGCGACTGTTTTATTTTTGATATGCTCCCTTATAAGCTTTAGCTTTTGTCTTTAAAAATTATGGATTTGTGGTATCCGAGCTACTTCTGGCGGTTTTATTGGATATCAGAGGCTTTATTATCAGTCATAAAATGTGTTTGCCTATCTTTGTGCGAGTGAAGAGGCTAATGTCACACCATAGAACTGATTTAAGCAGCTCAAATTCCTCCACACGGTCCCAGCTTTGGCCATTGCAGCCGCAGTCAAGTGATTTGAGATTGTTTACGTTATGACGGCTTCTCGTTACAGTAAGCAATCCGTTAAGTTCATTGGTAATAATATATCTTGTAAGTTTTGATGGTTTTTTCTCCTATACCCTCCCATCGTAAGTCGGATTATAAGCATTTACTTGGAAAGTATAGTTTGAGACTGACCTGAGAGCAATTCACTTGTTACTCGCTTTTCATGCGCAACACTTGCCTAAAGGACTGCGTAACTAGTACCCGAGGTAGCGTGAGAATGCCTCAATGCTTCCTCTAAGGATGTTGAATGGACTTGTATAATGCAATCACTACCTTTTTCCTATTTCGCTGCATGGAATCACTTCTCGCATCTGCTATTTACTCTGAAAAAATTGGAGTTTGCTCTTACGAGGCCTTTTGTTATAATTTGGGAATGTGAAATTTGTGGTTATCCTCACGCCTACAAATCAGTAAAATTGGCGATTTAGGCTAAACGACCCCAACGGGGCTGTCTAGGCGAAGATAAGTAAGACCGGAAGTACCAATAGCCCTGGAATGCTTCTTTCACCACACACACACAAGTTCTCCTTCCGGAGGCAGCTTCTAGACCTGATGTGTATCTCCTGCATATCCCAAATAAGCCTCACAATATGTAATAGAAGGGCAATGAGAACCAGAATGAGGAGATTTTCATTATTTTACATCTCAGTTGGCTATTAGCTCAACGTGGGTATTGAGTCGGGGGTAGTTTCTTATAGAAAAGTACAACTTTTTAACAACTAGTAACAAAAGTTAGATGGGCGTTTTTCAATTCCATGTTAACTTTCATCATTTACCTTGCAAATTTGGTTAAACTTGTCCATCAAAGATTTTACTCCATCAGAACTTTCTTGCGCCATGCGTTCACTGCTAACTCATAAATCTAGCTCCATAAACTGACGTTTTTTTAGGTTGTCCATAGCCTGCCACCCTCGCCCGTCCCTCACGTGGCGTTTTGATGGGTTAAACTGTCTCTGGTGTTGCTCCGCTACGGAAATATCTTTCGGGATTGTTACTTACTTATAAATTGAAGGGTTTGTTACAACACGAATGATGCGTGTATCCTTTTCACCCCCTTTTTGTGCATATGGGTAGCGGCTAAATCTAGAGTGTGAGGGACTTTCCATCAAGATTCAGGGTCACCAAATGTCGATGGCCTATATCCGAAGTACTCTAGCAACTGAGGTGCTGAAGTAATTTTTCAACTGAATTAAAAGTCGAAAGTAGCACAAATTTGTAAGTCCTATTTCTACCTTTTTTTAAAGGCACCATTCAAGTGGTATTCTAGAGTTCAATGCCTCTGGTGGCCAAAAGGGTTGTTAAATTTTTACCGACTACTGACAAAGTAATGCGCAAGAGACAAGGATTTTGAATTGTTTACCTAACAAAGTGTCAATTTGCCAGTCCATTGTGTCGTGCGGCGGAGCAACTGAACGTGGAAATCCACCTATCGTAAGAAAGAGCACGCAAAC